CCCCCGCCCCCAGCGTGATGGTTGATGTGTTATTGTTATGATTCTAGTTTATTTTGTTTTCAGTCTTATTTTATTTTCGGAGGCTCAGTATCTTGGTGAGAAAGGTGTATTTGTCCGCCGGTGGGGTCAGTTTCAGAGGGCAGGCAGCAGCAGGTGGGGATTCTTCCTCTCTGCTTCCAGCAATCCAGAGGCCTCAAGATTTGCAGGCCTGGAGTTAGGTCACTTGTCTGCTGTGTGACCCAGGCCTGGAGTTAGGTCACTTGTCTGCTGTGTGACCTTGGACAAGTTGCTGGCCCTTTCAGAAACTCCGTGGGGGGAGGGAGGCTTTGGGGCAGTGAGGGGTGGAGAGTGCAGGATACTTGGGGTCTGGGCAAGTGCTCCCTCATTCCCTTCTGGGGACAAGGACCCTTAGATGGGTAGATACCATCTTCAGGTGGGGTATATGCCATTGCCCAGCCTCTGGGGGCCTCCTGCTTCTAATTCAGGCTCTGCCATTGGTGATCTGGGGGCTATTGGGTCCCTCACTGCCCTTTCAGGAGCCTCATTTTCCTTATCTGTAAAAGAGAAAGGGCAATAGCTACCCTCAGGGTGGCTGTGAGAACTAAATGAGATAACATCTGTGGAAGTGCCTGGAAGAAACTCTGATGATTATATAATAATAACTTTATAACAGCAATAGTAAAGCTACTGTCCTTGAGAACTTAGTGTGTGCCAGGCAGGGGGTGGACACATTTGTTCTTCACAACAACCCTGTGAGGAAAGGGCCGTTATTGACCTCAATTTTTTTTTTTTTTTCCTTTTTGTCTTTTTCCGTGTCCGGCAATGGATCGCAACCCTCAGTGTCGCCCCCGTACCGGACCGGGACCGGCAACGGGATCGCAACCCTCAGTGTTGCCCCCGTACCGGACCGGGGACCGGCAACGGGATCGCAACCCTCGGTGTTGCTCCCGCACCTCGCTCAGCCAGTGAGCGGGAACTGGTCCGTATGTGGGATCTGAACCCTACCGGCAACGGGATCGCAACCCTCGGTGTTGCTCCCGCGCCTCGCTCAGCCAGTGAGCGGGAACCGGTCTGTATGTGGGATCCGAACCCTCGGCGGGAGCGCCGCCACGCTTCCCAAGCGGCGCACTACAGCAGTGCGCCACCGGGCCGGCCCTGACCTCGATTTTTGACTTAGGAGGGAACTGAGGCTCAGAGTTCAAGTTGATTCACAGTCCCCCACTCTGTGGCTGGAATTGGCACCTCACCAGTTCCACTTCCCTTCTGGCTTCCTGATTCTGGGCCTGCCCTTGCCACTTCCATATACTGTGAAATTGGGGTAACAAAGCTCACCCCACAGAGGTGAGTGGTACAGAATTAAGGAGAAGGTGGGGGTGGTGTGGCCAGCATTGCTCCTAGGGCACGTGCTTAAGAACTTGATTCCCACCTCAATTTACCAGCTGTAGACTCAGAATTTTTCATCCTCTTTGTGCCTCAGTTTCCTCATCTAGTAAAGAAGAAGTACCAACCTCACTTGGGATTAAATGAGCTCCTCTAGGTAAAAGTGTTAAGCAGAATGCCCCACAGCAGTAAGGGCGTCACCCCACTGGTTGGATCCTGGATTCCCGAGATCCCAAGTTCCTCAGTCATCCAGTGTAGGAGCTTTGTGTCACTGATCACAAACCCTTTTCCTTCCCAGTCCAGACAGAAGAGTGCTGTTAGGCAGCTCAGGAAGGGGAGTAAATTGGGGAAGGTCACTCAAAGTGTGTTCCTGGACCAGCAGCAGCAGATCACCTGGGAATTTGTTAGAAATGCAAATTTTTGGATCCTATCCCAGACCTACTGAATCAGAAACTCTGGGGTAGGTCTCTGGGGTAGCAATTTGTGTTTAACAAGCCCTCCAGGTGATTATGATGCCTGTTCAAGTTTGGAAACCGGTGCCCAGAATATTGTTCCTTTCATCCAAGTTTTCAGATCTATTGTTGTAATGTTGTGGGGAGATTTTCTCATAATCTGAAACTCCTGTGAATCTGCACTAACATCTGCTTTTCATTCTCAGTGTCACCCATTTGTGCCTTCTTTTGGTCATACTTCCCAAAGTTTTGTCTATTTTTTTTTTTCCTTCGGTCTTTAAAAAAGTCTTTGATTTTATTAGTATTTTGGTTTTATTCTTATTAATTTCTTCATTTGTTGAGATAATATTTAGTTCATTTTGTCAACTTTTTCTTGTGCTTTTTTATTTAAATAAATGAACTCAAGCCCATACATTTTCCTCTGAGCAAAATGTTTTGATACATATTTGGTGTCCCCGAGGTTACCGTTTTTTGCTGTCTCTTCTTACTTGCTATCAATTGAACAATGAGACACACACACAAAAAGATTAGAAAATGAGAATTCTAAGAACTAGGGAACTGGGGGCCAGGACTCCTGAGGCTAGAAAGACTTCCAGAATGCA